AAAAAACCCTCGCCTTTTAAATAAAAGAAAGGCAGTGCCTAGAAGTAGGAGGGACATGTCACCTCTCCCTGGACTGTGATGGAGACATTGTCATCCCACCTGCTCTGTCCCTACAGTGCCCAGATGGAGACTTGGTGTTTTGTGATCCCTAGTTCCAGTGTCCGCCAGCCCCAAGCTTCATTCTTGTGGCAGGGTCAAGCCTCATTCTTTGGAGCCTGCTTCCCTAGTGCAGCACCTGACACCCACGTGTTTGTTGAACTGGGTGCCAGAGTTCTTAGCTTGCATGCCTGGCCAGATTGAAAACATGCACACCTGTGTACCAAGAGGTGCTGTGGGAGAGCTGTCTGCTTGCCAGTACCCTTTCGAGATGATTGTCTCCACCGTGGGGATCAGGCAGAGCCGGCTGGCCGACAGCATGGTCTGCTGCTGCTGCCCCCCCTTGGCTGGGCCCCAGGAGGAACTGAGCCCTTTGTGTCTGAGTCTGGAAAGAGATGAACTTTTCTCTTTATTTAATCTTAAATACACAAATACCATACCTCTTTTCCCTTTAAAACATCAGAGCATTGTGTTAACTGAAATGACCTTGACCCTGCACCCTGAATCCCATCTCCCCCACTCCAATAGGTATCACTGTGCACCCGCCAGACATTTTCTTACATTTTCCTTTTACATCTATATGCTTGAACCCAGAGAAAATATTCAGTTTCTTTTTGTGTGGTTTAATTTTACACGAGTTGTGTTACACTGCATGTGTCAGGCTGCAAATTGCTTTTTCCACTCAACAGTATGTTCTTGAAATACCTAGAGATCTAACTCGTTCCTTGCTGTTGCCATACGGCTTTGCACTGAATGACTGAATGTACACTTTTTTTAAAGGCTTTCCTCTATTACTGGATATTACAGACCCAAATCCTGCCATCAGCATTCTTGTTCGTGTCTCTTGGCCCACAAGTGTGTTTCTCTAGGGAACGTACCAATTGGAAGGTCATATTGTGTGAAACTTTCAGTTTTAATAAATAATGCTAATTTGCCCTTCAAAGTGGCTATGTTAATTGATTCTCATACTAGCAGCGTTTGAGAATCTCAGTTTTTCTTTGTCCTCACCAGTACTTGATGTCATCAGACATTTTTGTTTTTGCCAATCTCATGGGTAGAAGATGGTATCTTGTTTGAATGTTTCCTGACTTCTCATGAGGGTGAGCACCTTTGTGTGTGAGTAGTGGTTGCCCCATTCTCATCTGTGCATTGCCTACGGGAGCCCTCATAGTACCTGCTTTATTCATCTTTTGCCACTTAGAGGTAATTTGCATATATTTCCCCTGATCTGTTATGCATAAAGTCATTTGCTATACATGAGTTAGATTTTAATTTTGATGGAGTTAGTTTATCAATCTTATATATATTTATTTGTATGTATTGATTCTTATTTCTTTATAAAGAAATTATTTCCTTCCCCTGAGGTCATAAGGCTAGTCTCCTATGTTGTCTTCTGACAATGCTCTGTAATTTTCTTTTCAATAGAGTCCTAGGCCTGTCCTTTTTTATTTGTTATTTATTTTATTACTGATTTTAGGAAGGGAGAGGGAGAGAGAGATAGAAACACCAATGATGAGAGAGAATCATTGACTGGCTGCCTCCTGTCCACTCCCCGCTGGGGATCGAGACCGCAACCCAGGCCTATGCCCTTGACTGGAATTGAACCTGGGACCCTTCAGTCCATAGGCCAATGCTCTATCCACTGAGCCAAATCAGCCAGCGCACCTGTCCCCTTTTGAAGTGGGGTTGGTGGGAGAAGGACCCAGAGATTCAGGTGGGCAGTGCTGGTGTATGGAGGACCTGTCACCTGCACTGGCCTCCCCTGGCCACAGGCCACTCCTGAGAGGCAGGCTCATGAGGCCGCCATGCACCCTGACAGAGTTGCCTGTCTCCTGGTACCTCAGCCCTGGCCCAGAGCGACAGTCACAGGTGCCTGCATGAAGGCTGCCAGCAAAGGACAGACTCTGGGCAGAATTGGGTTCAATTTAGCACCTCTCTCCTGGGTCCTCCTTTGCCAAAGACATCATGGCCACCCAGAGGTGACCAGACAGCCCCTGTCCCCCAGGACAGAGCAGCGAGGGCCAGGGTGGTGAAGGTTGTCCCTAAAATGACACCCCAGAGGACCACAAACAAGTCCCCAACCAGCATCCCCTTTCTTCTGAAGATCTTCTCTTTAGTCCTCGGAAGCTGCTGTGTTTCTCTTTAACTGCCCCACAGGTTCTGAAAAGCCAGGGCTTCCTCCCACTCCGAGCGGTCTTGTCTCATGGTGACAGCTGCTTTTAGTTTTCTTATGAAATTTCTCACAGGGCTTTGATGCCTCAATTGCATTGCTGAAAGTTGTTCCGCTTTGGGGTTTAGTTCTTCCTTTTTTTGTTCTTTGTGGCAGAGGTGGTAGGTCTTTTTCCCCCGAAGCCCCTGAGGCTTCTGGGCTTTATGAGGGGGTTGCCTGCTGACAAACCCCACTGTCATTGCACCCCGCTGATAGAAGAAGGCAGTTGTCCTGTTTAGAGGGGAGAGAAGGGGGGAGAGAAAGGGGAAAAAGGAAAGGAAAAGCATGCTCTATTCATTTAGCTTTGTTTCCTATTTTTAAAAAGTAAAAGATTCCCATTGAAGAACATGCCTTAAGTATTGAGTAAAGAAAATAAACTCTACCTACCACAAAGAATCTATATAATAAAAGCTTAAGTGACCCTTACGGCGGAATGATGAGAACGACCAGTCGCTATGGTGCGCACTGACCACCAGGGGGCAGACGCACAATGCAGGAACTGCCCCCTAGTGGTCAGTGCACTCCCACAGGGGGAGCACCACTCAGTCAGAAGCTGGGCTCACGGCTGGCGAGTGCAGCGGCGGTGGCGGGAGCCTCTCCTGCCTCCGCAGCAGCGAGCAGGCAGGTGGTAAGGAGCGAGGGGTCCCGGACTGTGAGAGGGCACAGGCTGGGCTGAGAGCCCCCCCCCACCCCCCCCAGTGCACGAATTGTGTGCACCAGGCCTTTAGTATGTTTATAAGAATGAAAATGATGACTTACACTTCTGATAATATAGATGTCTTCCCGTGTGGAACCAGAAATTCTGGATAAAATAATTTTTAGAAATCTTTTTAAATACTTGGCTGGACTGTTGGGAAAGGGAGGAAAATTCTTGCCCTAGATAGTAAGAAAGTGCAGCCCAGAGAGCTAAGCCTGTCTGGTGCTGGTATTTGCCATGGGAGCCTCTGGCATATGCTAGGAATAATAGACAGAAACTCAAGGCCTGGAAAGGCCGAGAAGGTGGATTGGAAGACATTCATCCCCATGAAGCCACAATCCCAGATAGATTATGCTCTCAGAGGACTAAACTGAAGTGTGCATGGGGGTGGGGAAGGTGCCTGAGAGAGAGGAGACATTGATCTGCCATCCCTTAGACCTAAATGAAAAGTAAAATGGGAGGAGGGAACCTTGGTGAGTACCTGAGCCCAAGTTTGTTATCCCATGTGTTTGGGGCCAGGATTTATACTATTTGTGTTACCTCCACTCCCCTACCACCACTAAATTTAAGCTGAATATTAGGTTACAATGCTCCTGATAGAAATTATCTGGGTAGGGGTCTACAGCTGGGATGTAGTTATACACAACTGTAAATTTACTAAAATGCAAACTGAATGCTTAAAATGGGTAAATTTTATGATATAAAATTTTACCTCAAAGGTGTGTGTAGAAAAACCACCTACCAGTCTTCTAATCAGAGACTTCTTTTAACATTTTAGTATATTTCTCTGCACTTGTATTTCATTGTAGGGATATCTTTTTTTAATATGTCAAAATCATAGTAAGAATATTTTCACCCTCTTTTTCATTTAAAATTTTAATGTCTTTTCCAATGTCACTGCAAGTATTTGTAAAGAGGATATTTTACTTGGATTTTTAATATGTATTTCAAATGTGTATCTTGAATACTTTCTTACTTTAAGATAATTTCAAGCAAAACAGTTATGTATAGAGCAAAAATTAAAGCTCTTTCATTGATATTTCCCCTCCCCCACCAATCACACACACACTCCTACCTCTAGTTCTCACTTCCCTCCCCATAGGTAACCACTGCTCACAGTTTGGTTAAACATAATTTTTAAATGGGTGTATAATTTTCCATGTGATGGGGAAAAGTCATACTCAAAATGTTCCCTTGTTTGGGGACATTTAGGTTGTTTCCTGGTTTGGCTGTTTCTTTTTAGACATGTAGCAGAGGATTCCACTGGGGGGAACTCGAGCTGGCCAGAGATTGAATGGTCCTGGTGATTTCATTGTCATCAGAATAGGCACTAAATTAGACATTGAATTTGGAGATAACGTTCAAATAAGAGAAGGGACCCCGCATACACTGAGGACCCTGTTCTAAATTTTTTACCTGCTTTTTCTCATTTAATGCACCAAACATCTCGTAAGAGGGGACATGATTTCCATCAGAGGGGCCAGGTGCCTTGCCCAGGATCACACACCATCTAGTGCAGAGCTCAGCTCTTCGTGGCCAGACACCAACTTGAGGGCTTGGTGGTTCTGTAACCGAGCAGGGGACTCTTCCTTTGCTTCTTCACTTAATTTAGGCAAACACCATCACAGTGGTCCGTCCGCAAGGAAGCGCTGAAATGTTCCCGAGATTTTTGGTTTATTTCTTCAGCTGCAGTCTCCGCGCCTAAAGTGTAGTAAACATTGCACTATTGCTGTGTGTACTTTATATCAGGCCTCACAGATAGTGCCCTGAGAGGGATGGACATTATCCCCATTTTCAAACGAGGAATCTGAAACCCAGACAGGTAAAGAAAGTTGCCCAGTGTGACTCATAGGAGGGACTCAGACCCAGGAATGTGTGATTTCAAGCCTGGACTCTGACCACTGAACTCTGCTGTCCAGCAGAGCATGAGTCAGCTTGAGTCTCCATCAGGCTGGGAACTAGACAGCGCCTCATTCTGCTCTGTCTCCCTCCTCCCAGACAACAGCGACCTGATTGCGTGCACGGTGATCACCAAGGATGGCGGCATGGTCCAGCGATTCCTGGCTGTCGATATTTACCAGATGAGTTTGGTGGAGCCCGACGTGTCCAGGCTTGGCTGGGGAGTGGTCAAGTTCGCAGGCCTCCTGCAGGTAACAGCTGAGAACTGCAGAAGCTCTTCTCCATTGACTGTACAAACACACACGAGTATCATCTTTACAGTTAATTTCTAATGGCACAAGGACCACATGAACAGGCTATCATTGAAAAAAATTAAAATATCTCACAGATACAGGTCAAGTCCCAAACCCACTTCTTACACTCCCCTCCTCCCAGTACCAGTGATCCTTCCAGATCTGGTCTCTGCCAAATGCATATATAAATATAACTCCATGTTTTTTAAAATTGTGTAATATACTTGAGAGGGGGTATGTGTGTGTATTTTTATAGTGTCACGTTGATTGGAGTCTAAACTTTGCTTTTTTTCACTCAACATACATCTTGGAGAACGAACCACATTAGTAAATTCAGACTTACTGGCATTCTTTTCATTGCTGCCTGGCGATACCAAGGCCTGGTTACCAGTGCCCTGAGGCTGTTTCTAGCTTTTTACCTGTACAGGGTTGTCATGAACAGAATTGATCTTCCTTCCTTGTGCACTTGGACAGGGGTTTCCCTAGGCAGACTCCAAGAAGTTCACAGACATCACCACATTTTTGTCTGAAATGATTGTTTACACTGGCAGTGTGTAACAGTTCCTTTCTCCCCACCCCTGTCCAGCAGAGCTAGGCTCCAGATTGCCAAAAGCCGAGTGGGGGCTTGGGTTTCCTCCATGTTTGTCTCTGTGATAGGTTACTAATGCCAGCTGGTTCACTGAATGAAACATAGAACCGGGAGAGTCGAAAACAGCCTTCTGGCTCACATCTCCATCAGGCCCCTGTCCCTGCATGTCCAGTGCACTCTGACAGGCCTGGGGCTTGCCCTGCTCTGAGGCAGATCGTTTCCTTGCTGGACAGGCCTGGCTGCTGGCAAGGCCTTGCTCAGGCTGACCCACATCCGCCTCTCCACAAATGTGACCTGCTGGCAGCGTGCCGTGCCGTGCCGCTCTCCAAAAGAACTACCCACGTGTTTAAAGATACTGTTGCACCCTTTTCCCCAACCTCCTCTTTTGCAAGATCTTTCTATTTAAAAAATGTCTTTTGCCAAGGGTGATGTGAGAAAGAACTATATGAAGAATCTTTTATTTATAAAAAGACTTCCATGTAAGTGGTTGTCCATTAGGTGACTTAGTGCTTCTTATTTATCTAGGCTTGTGATCAATTTCCTTTAGAATTTAGTGTTAGGAAAGTGTTTTTCTCCCTCGAAGGATTAATACATGTCCTCCATCAGACAATGAAAGCCACATAAACCTTTTCTTTTGGTCGTCTTCCAATAGCCACTATTTGTCAGGCCGTTACTGCGTGCCAAACTCTCCGTCTTAAATGTGTAATATCTCATCTAATCCCACAGCAACATTTCCATGCAGGTATTATTTCCAAAGAGCCCGTGCAGCTTTAATGTTATGGACAGCAACCATCTTAATGAGCCTTTTCCAGCACTTTCCCGCCTCCCATAGCATGTCTGGCGTTCCTGTCTAGCTCCTGTCTCAGGCTTTTATCTTAAATCACCTCAAACCTTTGTGGGAAGCAAATTCTTTACACGGAATCCATCCTGAGGTTTTAGATTGGATTTATCCTTAATTACACTTGCTATGTGTGAGTTCCTTCTCCAGCTTTCAAACACAGTGTTCTTCAAATGCCTGCTAAGTGACCCTCCCTTCTTTCTCGGAGTTAGTTTTTCCTTTAGGAACCAGAAATTCTTCAGAGACGTACAAATGGGTGCTAATGATGCCCCCTTTTTAAGAGAAATCAGGAAGAAATTGGTTTGTAGATGAGTCAATAAATCTAACATCGTGCCAGATGGCATAGAAATTTTGGTTCGTTATCACATTCTTAGAAGTAAGAATGTTGGAGTTTGACTGTTGGGTTCCCTTGAAGAGGCTGACTCAAGTCCTCTTATGGACGGTACCACCCCGCAACCAGCATCGCTCCTGGTAAACGCTCTGTGCTTCCCACGCTGTCTTCTCTTGCTAGGCCTGATCTGGTTTGTGTCCTTCCTTGACTGTCTTAGACTTGGGAAGCTGATGGTCTCCTTCAGGGCAAAAGCAAAGTTGAAACTGGGGGCGGGGGTCGCTTGTAGGTGAGACAGGGATCCCACAGCTTCTGAGCAGTCGTCCTCCTGAACCTAATGAACTATTTTCTTTCACCTCCTCCTCCTGCAGGACATGCAGGTGACTGGTGTGGAAGACGACAGCCGTGCCCTAAACATCACCATCCACAAGCCTGCCTCCAGCCCCCACTCAAAGCCCTTCCCCATCCTCCAGGCCACCTTTGTCTTCTCGGACCACATCCGCTGCATCATCGCCAAGCAGCGCCTGGCCAAGGGCCGCATACAGGCGAGGCGCATGAAGATGCAGAGGATAGCTGGTGAGTGCTCGGTCCTGGTACAGTGTCCTCTGAGCCCTCAGGGGCAGAAGCAGCCACAGGGCTGCCAGTGTGGTTCTCACATTGACCTTGAGAACCCCCGTAACTCCTCCAGAAAAGGACACATACATTTCAGGCATTAATTGTGTTTTGGTGAGAGGATGGAGAATCTGCTCAGAATTTCCCATTTCCTAAGTACTTGATTTCTAGAGGGTTTCTAGGGCCTTGTGGAGAAGGAGAGCCCCCCCCGCCCCCCCCCCCACCCCGCCCCGACCAAGGCAGAGGCGGTGTACAGGCAGGCGTCAGTGGGTCCGCTGTTCTCACTCCTGCACGTGGACATTCTCTAGCTTACGTTAGAAAACGCTTCAACATTCCTGTACCACATTTTATTCTTAAAACAACCCTTGAGATTAGAAGGGCCTGTTCTGCCCATTTTATAGATGAGTAAACTGAGGCTCAGTGACTTGTCCAACATCACACAGGAAGAACCCAAACGCAGAACTTCCTACTCTATTGCCCATCCCTTTCCAGCTCTCATGAGAGTTCACCCTGCTTAGTGAGGGGCCAGGACCCAGTTCTGAAATCAGAAGTCCTTTTGCATTTCACAGGGATGTGGAGAATTTGTGAGGAGACCCCCTGCTGCCCAATGTTGGGAATGCCCCAGCTTAGTTGTAAAAGCACTGAGATGAGGGCGTTCCTGTCAGGGTGGAAGGCATGGTGTTTTCCTTGGGGTAAAGGTGTGCTATCAATTACTAAAATTATAAAGTCTTTCTCAAGACACTTAACACCTTTTGGTTCAAGCGCTGATGTTCATTCTGGTGTGGTCTCTGGGAGGCTTTCCAGCCCCCGGGGGGAGGAAGAGAGCTTTCTTTACCTAAAAATAAAGACGCAGAGGGCGGGGTTTCTGGCCGTTGTGGATTGTTATTTCCTGCACATGCCTCGTTGATTTGTGCAGGTCTGCATCCCATATAGTCCTCATCTTATTTCTCACTTAGCTGAAACTTGGCCTGCAAAATCATTACAGAAGCATTTGTAATGTGCAAAGTGACTTAAATCACTCAGTCCTTTCTTTTAAGATTTATTTTCAGAGGTTTTTTTTTTTTTTTTAATGTAAAGCAGTTTCTCACAGCTGCCATGAAGGCTAAATATTTCATTTGAAAATTGAGAATTATGCCGTAAAGTGGCTGTGAGAACTAATGCCTTGGGTATTTCTTCAATTGATTTTTAAAAGCCCCTCCAAATTGCTATATCATGAGATTTGTTTATGGAAGGGAGGAAGCACACACTCATAAATACACACATACACATGCGTGTATCTTCTCTCTCACACATTCTTCCCCAGGCGCACATATATGTGAACTTTTAGGGCAGCATTGGCCCTATTTACCTTGGGATCTGAAACTGTACCTCTGGCTACGCCTTGGCCTGTATGGATGAAAACCAGGCAACCTAGGTGGGACCTGGCCCTGCGTCCAGCCCTGAACCCCTCGCCAGCTGTGTTTTGAGGTTCAGGCTGGACCTGTAGTTGTCACACTGATTTCCCCAGTTTGAGGCTGTCAGTTGCCTGCTTGCATCGCCCAAGGGATGTGCCTGCCAGGGCCCGGCTACTCCAGCTACAACCGCCCCACCCAAAGTCTCCTCACCTAGACTTCCGTCCCATGCACTGAGCCTGACCATGGGTTTGTTTGAACGTAGCCCTCCTGGACCTTCCAATCCAGCCGACCACTGAAGTTCTGGGATTTGGACTCGGCTCCTCCTCTTCCTCCCAGCACCTGCCTTTCCGATTCTACGACCAGTGCCGCCGAGGCAGCAGTGACCCCACAGTGCAGCGCTCTGTGTTCGCGTCCGTGGACAAGGTGCCAGGTGAGCCGGCCCCACCCCGTGCCACCACTTGTCCTCCTCCTGGGGTTCCAGGGCTTTCCCTCCGTTGAGCCTGTGTAAGCTGCTTCTCCCTTCTTGGAAATCCAGCCAGTTGGAAGCACCAGCTAAATTTCTTAGAATTGATCAAAGTGTAGCACAAGATTAAACACAAGCCACAGAAGGAAATCTTGGCTTTCCCTTTGGTGCTCTTCCGCCTGGTTTGGTTTTCCAGAGATTTGTTGGGGATGTGGAAGGACTTCTCAGAATTAAGAAAGAAGTTTCTTGAAAATTTCTTGGAAATACTTAGGTGATTAGTAATGAGGTTGTGGGAGAGTAATTTCCTTCTCCTTGTAGGGTGACTAGAAAGAGAGAGTGTGTGATTCCTGCTGCAAACCCCCTAAAGAAGTGAGACTTGAGGAGAGGGCCCCGCCGGCCATGGGCAGCTGCCAGTGTCTCCTATCTGGGAGCCTCTCTAACCACTTTCACCAAAGCTCTGACCCCTCCTCCCCTCTCCCAAAAAGGAAGCATGAATAGAAACTTCAAGGTCGCCTTGGTGGAGCAGAAAGAACTGCTTCTCCAGAAGGGCAGGCCCTCCCCTTTCTGTTCTGACACTTCTGATTTAAGTAACTCCCTTTGCACCCCCATCCCTCAAAAGACAGCTTTGCTCTTCATTGTAAAACCTCAGAAAACAGGCCCTATGGCCCCTGCAACTTAACCTCCCCACATTTAGGGTTTCAAACTTCAGTCACAAATGTTGAAAAATGTTTTCAAAAGCAGTTATCGATTTAAAAAAAAACTCAGCCATAAGAACCTGTCCAAAGTCAGGGCCCTTGTTTCCCTTCCACCCCATGAATCATTCTGTTTTCATTCTTTGATTTGCTTAATTCATTTTGGAAACATATATACTGTAAGCATATGATATTTGAAAATCCAAACAGGACATGATAAAATGAAAAATAAGTCTACTTGGCCCTAGAAACTTTTAACAATTTCTTTACATATCCTTTCAGAAATGTTTCTTTATATGTCATATGTATGTCTTTGCTTGTCTGTTTTTACACCGGGATTATATCGTATATGTGATTCTGCCTGGCCGTTTTACTTAATAAGGCGGCGTTACATGTTAGCACATATAAGTCAACTTCGTGCTTGATAACTGTTAGTATTTTTGATGCAGAGGAACCAAGAAAATCTTTTATAACCTTTGGCATTGATGGCATTTGGGTCGTCTCCAGTGTTGAGCTCTTGAGTGAGTGTCACCTTGTACCTGCTCAGGGTATCTGTGCAATTGTGCAAACCTCACGTGTCTGTGGGATAAATTCCCAGCAATGGACCTGCCATCAAAGGGGAGGCTTTTCATCCTGATATATGTAGTCGCAGCGTGTGTTCTGGGAAAAGTGCACCAGTTCACGCTTCCACCCAAGCCAGGGCTGTTTTCATTCTTAAAACCAGTGTTAGGCTACGAGATAGATGGTAGCACTGCCTGTGTTCAGCTGTGAAACAGGAGATGATTTCGCCTGCTCTGGAGTCTGAAGGATTCTTTGTTACACATTCTCCAGGTTGCTTCATGTTCCTTAGAGATAATCGCTGTGCAAATGTAAGTGATGACCATGAGTCTAGGTTAACTAAGTATAGATTAGCCTGGTTAAAAATATCATTTCTTCCTTCCTTTCTCTCTCGCTCTCTTCTTTTTACACACAATTGTCATGTTGTTATAAATTTATAAGCACCACTTTGTAACTTTGTATTGAGAAATAGTTGATATATAACATTATATTAGTTAAAAAGTCATTTCTTTAGGGTCATTGAAGCTTCTTTCAGCTCGGGCTCTAATGAGTTAAGGAAAAATGCCCTGGGCTTATTTCCGCTCCATCCTTTCTGAAACAGGGGAGTGTAAGTAAATAAATAGAGGCAAATGTCACATTCTTCAACATCTGCATAATCATCTCTCTTTTTGCAGCAGGCTTTACAATGACTGATTGCTTACTTCTCCCACCCTGCCGGAGCCCAGGGTTACTGTAGGGTCATCCACTGCTGGGGTGTGGCCAGGTCTACAGTGGCCTGCCAGGCAGAGGGGTCGGCACAGCTGGAATGCCCAGCGTCCTGTTGCTGGTCCCAGGGTTGGGATGTGAGGTGGGGCCAGGGGAACTGGCAAATCAAAGGTAGTTGCTTGAAAGCAGCCATCCACCCCTTGGCTGTTCCTCTCCCCTGGAAGTGCCGCTCAGGTGTGGGCTGGGGTAGGGACATGCTCACAGATGTGCTTTCCAGGTCGACTGCTCTGGGCCTTTGGTTAGAGAGGCCTCGCACCCCTCCTGCCTTGGCCTGGGCTAGAGATGTGACCTAAAGAACAAGTCGAAACCATTGAGACTCAGAGAGGGAGGGGCGCTCTCCCTGGCTCCCACCCTCCTCACCATCTGCTGTCTCAGTAGTCAGCCCAGCATCTCGGAATCATCTGAATCCTGCTCTTCCCTCTCCCACACCCACTGGCCTCCTCTGCTCACAGAATATACCATGCTCTCACCCCCTCCCAGCCACCAGCATCTCTCCCTAGATCATGGCAATAGCATCCTCAGTACCTCTGGCTTTCGGTCTCACCCTTCTTCCTATTCATCCAGAGGGATTTTTCTAGAACAGAAATCAGATTCAAGCCCTTGCCTGCAACCCTCCAATGGCTTCCAGTTGCACTTAGAACAAAATCCAGATCTCTCACTCTGATCCTATGGTCACTATGTGGTTGGCTCCAGCTGGCCCCTCAGACGCAGCTCCTCCATCCCAAATACCATCCCCACTGCTCCTCTAAGTCAGCACTTGCCAAAATTTCGGCCTCCGTACCCCCTTATAATCTTAAAAGATATTGAGGAATCCCAAGAGCTTTGGTTTATATGGATTATATCTATTGGTATTTTAAGATTAGAAATTAAAACTGATAAATGCTTTAAGTATTTATCTGGCTTTATAGAAGACAGTTGGATTCTCATGTCTGCTCCTGCTTCCTAAGCATGTATTTATGGGGCCTCTGGAAAACTCCTCTGTGTACTCCTGGGAGTATGGAATTAAAAGGAAAATGCTGTCTTGTTATTTTTATGAAAGTAGTTCTGACCCTGGGAGGCCCCCAAGGTTCCCCAGACCACACTTTGAGAACCACTACTCTATTAAGTCACTGAACTCTCTCCTGCCTCAGGGCCTTTGCATTGGATATCCTTCTCCAGATCTGTGTGGTTGCCTCCTATGAATTACTCAGGCCTCAGTCTCCTCAGAGAGGCCTTTCCTGATCATACCCTCCCCCAGAAAGGTATTTCCATCACATTAGCCTGGTTTATTTTCTCTGTGACCCTGAGTTCATTACCTGGCTGACATATCTGTGTAACTATTTATGGTCTTTCTCCCCCATGAGAAATGTCACTGCCATGGGGACTGGATCTGTCCTGCCCCCACTGTATCTCAGCGCCTAGCTCTGTGCCTGCGTTCACTAGTTGTTGAATGAAGAATGAGCACAACCTTGGCACAGTTCCCACCTAATGCCTTCTCCCTGTGTGAACACCCGGAAGATGAGGAAATTCGTTCTGGGACCCTAGACATTGGGTGGTTTACTCTGTGGCACTTAGACAAGGAAACCAAGATTTCATAAGATTGTAAGAGGATTCCTCTGCTTAATTTCCATCAAACAAAGGGAGTGAGATGTGCATTCCAGGAGGGCCGATACACTGGATGATAGATTTGGGTCAGATGCACATCAACTGAATTTCACTGCCCACACCTTTGTCAGAGGTTTGCAGAAGCCAAAGAGTGGGCTGGAGGGAGTCATCAGGAGCACAGCCCAGATTGGCCTCCGAAGCTGTGGCCCGTGAGCCCAGCCCTTTGCTGGGTCGCTTGCCGTAGGCTGCGCTGTTGCAGATTCCCAGGCTATGTGGGGTCCTCACTCTGGCCACCTGCCTCGAGGTGACTGCTGGACAAGCCATCACTGTCATGACACATCTTCCAGTTCTATCTGCAGGCCCAAGTAATTGTCATAGAGCACTTTGTCTCCCCTTTAGAAGCTATAAATGATTATATTTGATGAAACTATGCCTCTCATTTCCTTAGAAGAGATATTAAAGTAGAATATAAATCAGGCCTAATAGACAACTAGCCACTTTGATATATTTTTCTTCTTCCATTTGGCTTGGGAAGAAGTCATAGTTTCTATTTATTAGCTGGTTTTATGTTGATGGCTCTTGCCCCACAGAATGGTTGTCTTCACAAGGGCAGAGGCATGTGTGCGTGCCTGGCCCACAGTGGTGATGTATTGGGGTGGCAGGCAGGACTGGTTCTGGAGTCTGGCTTTGAGGTGCAGGCCCCATGGTTAGTGCCACAAGGACCCGTCCCACTGACCCACCGTGACAGCTGATTGCCAGAAACTGTCATTGGGGCAGTTGGGAGTGGGGGGCGGGCAGTGAATTTCCAAATGAGCCACGAGGGCAGTCTCTCCATGAACACCAAGCGGACCAGTAGACCCAGAGCAGAAGCCCAGTCAGAGGGCCAGGGCCCTGGCCTCCCAGAGCAGCCTCCACCCACTCCTGGGCTCCTTCTGGCCAAGAGCTGCTCCCAGGTGTTCCCCTGGTAGCAGAGTGGTAAGCAGAACATCACAGTCTCTCTCATGTGGGTCCTTCCTGGACCCTTCCTAATTCTTATCTGAATAGAAGGGCTCTACAGCCCAGAGGGCATTGTGGGATTTGAGTGGGACAGTTAAGCAGGTTGACACCACTGGTCCTCACTGATGGGGACTTAATGACATGACCTTGTTTCTCATGAGCCAAGCCCCACCAACCTTTTAGCTGCAGTGGCAGTGCTTAAAATCCCCCAGCACCTCCTGTCCACAGCCCCTCTCCATGGCCCCTTGGCCCTCTTTCCACTGTCGGCACCTCTCTCCTCTCCTCCTCTCTGCTCTCTTTGCATAATACCACCCAGCATTTCAGCTGCACCGGCTTTCTGTCTGCGCCTCACAGGGGCCAAGCACATCCCAT